CTTGATATCCAATCTTAAAATTACGGTCTTTTTATATCACAACTGAATACAATCTTTGCAAAACAGAAACTGCTATCTGTTTATGAGTCATTTGTCTTGTGCTCATCAATTATATTTAATTCGTAACAGAAAATACGAGATATTATTTGGAGTGCATGTCAAACTCAGGGTAGAATAACGCATAAAGACAGTTTTGGTTCCCAATTCAAAATAGTTCTTATGAGATTAATCGAAGTTTCCTCTTTTCATTTGTGATCATTATTACCATTTCCTTTTGGATTTGTTCAAGAGTTTTTCTTCGATTGAATTCGAATGAAAGATGATCAATCGAAATTAAAATCAACGATGGAAGCGACAATTTCCTCATCCGTTTTTCGTCAATAAGTGGTATTCATAGATTGCATCGAAACTCTGACCTTTGAACCAGAAATTTGAGGAAACAAACACCAGTTCAGTTTGAACAGGTTTGTTGAATCCAAAACCAAATTAACAGAACAGAAAGCAATGCAGCCAGAGATGTAAGCCAATACATTGATCGGCAGCGGCTGAAGTGATTACGATTTTGTTCCTCTGTCAGCAGAAGCCGCTGGAATTTGTGATGACTCTTTTTAAAAATTTTCTTTCTTTCGAGAGATTTTGAAATTAAAAAGGTATTAATGAAATACGTTCCAACCAACTGTAATGCACTCTAGCCGCGATATCAGTGGAAGAAATTATCAATTAATAAAATTTCAATTCTCCATTCATGAAATCTCGCAGCAAGATATGTTCTTTAAAAACTCTTTGATAAAAGAATCAAATATCATTTCGATCGATCCATTTCAGGCTTGTTCAAACCACTCTAACTCCGGCTTGGGATGTGGATCCATTGAAATGATATTTGATTCTTTTATCATTGATCTTTTAAAGAAAATAGCTTGCTGTGGTGTCCCATGAATGAAGAATCCCAAGTTTTAACGATTGATAATTTCTTCAAGTTAAATGGCAGTTAAAGTGGATTAGAGTATATGTTACTACTAACTAAGTAAATCGATTACATAGACAATTATGTTAAAAAATCGGATGAGAATAAATTAGAGAACCATGCAAAAAGTTTGAGTTTTTATGCAAAAAGTCAAATTTTTGAAAAGCTTTTCAGACATCATAGATCAACAAATAGTTAGTACAACACTAGACCAGCCTTGGGCACACATATGACACTTCGAAATACGATATTAATTTATGCTTACTCATGTAAGAAAAATTACCGACAAATGAGTTGGAATCCATTATCTTTTTATTGAGCTGATAAAATCTAATTTTCAGTCTGCAACCATAGTTCATCTGATTTTAAGCGTTTTTCAATTTAAAGATATTCAATTAAGATCAGATATTTTTGGTTTTCCTTTACATCAGAAAAACATCCACAAAGACTTATCTTGAATGTCGAATAGTTTTTGGAAAATCAAATATTTATTTTCGTACCAGCGATAGTGGAGGCTCAGTCGAAAAGCTAACACCTTTGTATGCACAATTACAGAAGTCTTTCGTCAAACTTATCGACTCACTTCGCTAAATATTCTTGTAGTATATTTAAACCCACATAAAACTGACACACTAGCTAATTTTTATGAAAGATTGTCGCCACTAGGCTATCTCTTTTCACTCTTGTCTATCTTCATACTTAGTGAGTAAAGGGCTCTCACTGTCTGTGACATATCTTTTTTCAAGATCTCAAACCAAACTTCTTTTTCTTTTTCTTTCACGAGCAAGATTCGACTTAAATTTCAATTCGGTCTCGACACCTTCTGATGCTGTTAACTCAATCAATACCAGGGGAGCAAAAATAAAGGAGAAGTCTTCGTTCTGTCATCGTCACCTATGCAAACAACTGTGGTAGTTAAAAGACAAATAAAATAAGATCAGGTGGAGAGGCAATCTCTTCAGCTACCTCTTTCAATTCAGCATGCATCAAGATTGCAACCTTATCATGCAGTAGTGAAATTATTTCGCTTTATAAAGACTGTTGTTCTTTCGTTGACAACGACGACGTATCGCAAGCAGTTACTTTTATTTTGCTGTAGCATTGAGTGCAAATCAGTCGAACGGGGGAAAGGTAGGTAAATCAGGCATGTGCAGGAATATAATTTTGACTTCAATGAGAGCAGGACCGGAACTAAGCGCTGGAAAAACTAGTCGTGGTTCCGTTTCCTGAAATCAGGGATTTTCACTTCATCTTAAGAGGAGGAGATGTCCCCTCCCTCTAGTATACCCTCAATTTTAGTAAGTTTGCAGGGGAATATCCAAGTATCTGGAATTGCAGTTAGTCGCGAGTTGAATAAACTTGAATCGAGTTATGAAACTTTAAAAATTTAAACAAATAGATATTTTCTGGCCATTTGATGTCTATGGAAAAAGTAATCCTTATCAAATTCTCCTTCTCTTACAATACTTTCTGAAAACATTTTCTGTATGAAAACTTGTTCACTGGATTTGTCGATATCAGATGAGATATTTTTCTTTTAGAAGAAATGTCATTTTCTTGAGGTTGGAGGCTTCAAGATGTGTTGAAGGATGAATTGCAACATACCGCAAAACAGCGGTTTCACGCAATATTAAATAATATCCTTTATCATAGTACATTGTTAATGAAACTCTGAGTGTATAAGCGCCTATCCGCCGGAAAACACAGATTTCGCAGTGCTAACTTTGGTCGTTGACTTTCGGCTATTGCCGAAAGCTCAATCTAGATCCAAGAGAAAGTCCAACAAAAGAAGAAATTTTGACTATGGCCAAAAGTCTAGATGACATCGTCATTTTTCTAATTAACTATGTTTGGAAAATCGTACTTTCGGTAATCAATGGCTAATCTCTGGTTAGAAATGTATAGCAGTTAGCAAACTAACGGATTCGAATGCAAATTCTAATGATTCCAATCTCAAAGTCAAAAATTTCTTATCCTTGGAATTTTGGCAACATGAAACGATATATTGCCAAAAGTCCAGTGATAGACTATTTAGTTAACAGACAATATCAAGATCCTATTACAAAACTTTTGGCTATTGCAGAAAGTCAACTGCCAAAGTCAACACAGTGAAATTTCTGCTATCCTATCCACCACAATGAGGGTGAATACAATGATCACAGCCACCTTTCAGCACTCGAAAAAGCAGAAAAATCTTCGAAAATCAGAATTTTTCTGCAAAAGCAGAAGAGGTGGTAATATTCGTGAGTAGTGATCGAAAAGTTTTGTTCCCGATGCTGGAAAACTTTTGCTCATTTTATTGAAAATATATCAAAGAATGATCTCATTTTGTGCAAACTCGGATTTGGAACAAATCAAAATCACTTTTAAGTAGNCCTTGCGGGCAATGAAATGTGAAACGCGATATAACTACTTTTGGTATTCACAAGAAGCTTGTTTTCATTTATCTACTTTGCAGAACATTTGCAAATCATCCTTTTACTTATCTATTCACAAAATGTAATCAGGAAGTAGTTCATATTTTACGACTAGATGTTCTTTATGTAGTGTCTTTGATTGTGTATCGAGAAAGTCTTGTGTATTCCGGTGGTGTTGTCTTAGGATGCCAGTCACTGTCTCTGGTGGGTTCCCATTATATATACCACGACCTATAACGTTGTTCCAGGTGATTGACATAGTCTGTAATGAGATACTATTTAGCTAATTAATTGGCTCATAATTTCGCAAAATTTAGAGTATATGACATAAGAAAAGTTCATCTACTTTTTTAGTTAATTTTTTGCATTATATATTGCATCTAGATGAATAATATAGATGAAGGAGTGCTCATTTAGCTGCCTTCTATTGACAGCAATATGACAGATGAGAAAATACTCAGAGATAATGTTGAAAAGTTTGTTAATGATATTAGAATCTTTGATGATGTTAATGAATGTATTGCGGAACTGTCATCTGTATGTGAAGAAAAAGTAATTTTACGACTCGGGAGCGACTTATCATATCTCATCAGCATTCTGGACGATTTTAATCAAGTACAGTACATTTATTTTAGCGAACCATTCAAATGCAAAAGTAGTGTCAAGGTTCGTGGCGTATTTAATGACAACATTCAATTATTTGATCAACTTCAAAAAGATATTAACGCTTGGAAAAATCATCATGTCTATTTAATACTTTGCTATGTCGATTTTAGACGCATGGAAACAACGATACAAGATGTTCAAAATCATGCAGTACGTTTCATGTGGTCACAGATGCTACTTGAAACTTTACTGCAGATGCCATCGTCATCAAATAATACAAACAAAGATTTGCTTGAAGAAGCACGACGTCTCTATGCTAATAATGAACGCTTTCTCGCTGTAATTGAGGAATTTGAACGTGAATACCAAGCTGACGATGCTATCAAGTGGTATACACGTGAGTCGTTTCTTTATCAATTAATCAACAAAGCATTACGTACTCGAGACATTTGTTTAATTTTCAAATTTCGATATCTGATTCGACACACTTGCAAGCAACTGAAGGATCAATAGTAAAACACATTAGCAGGTTGGTGTTTTCTCAGACACGAACCAGTTAGAACAGAATTTTACATAGATGTATTCAGCGAAAATGATCTTATTTTTCTCTTCATCAAAAGGAGAATTCTGGACATATCTGAATTTTTTGAGGGCTTCAGATTGAAATACAACTCTAATGTTGGTCAGATTAGAATTTAATAGATCTGATGAGTTCTAACTTTCAATATGAATGATCTGTGAAATAGCATACGTTTTTCAATTTGTAGCGAGTTCAAGTCCATATTGACATAGATTTGCAATCGTACGAAACACATGAATGGTACTTCTGATTTTAGATTAATACTTTCAAAGAATGAACACCCTATAAAAACGCAGCATTTTGAGTAAGTAGATAATTATCAATTTAGTCTTCAAGACTAAATAACAGAAAAATGGACATTATGATTAGATTGAACGATGGAAATATCAAGAAATAATACTATCTTTCTTGTTATTAAGATCTATGACTTCTGATGACTCTTGCTCGTAGTCAATCGATGACAACAGAAGAATTCAATGAATTACAAAGAAACACAAATCAACTTATTTCTGTGAACACATTTCTATCGACATCAACAGATCGTGAGGCAGATAGTATTTTTTCAGGTGAAGGTTCGCCATATCCTGGTCTCATATCAGTTGTATTCGAAATTTTGGTTGATTCAAATTGTGACATAGCTCTTTTACCACCATTTGCTGACATAAGTAATTTGAGTTATATGAAAGACGAAAATGAAATACTTCTTTCGATGGGTACTGTCATGCAAGTAGTGTTAGTAAAAAAAAATTATAATCAAACGACCGGAACAATTTATTTACGAATGTGTCGACATGATAATCGTCTTGTAGTTGAACTGAAAGCATATTTATCTAACGAAATTCGAAAAACAATCTAATAAGTCATCCTATATCCATCAACTTGGTACCCAATGTCGAGCAGCGTTAAAAAATGGAGCTAACTTTTTAACGGTAGCATCTGGGCGGTTTGTTGGAAATGATGTTTTACGTGGAGAACCAGATCGAGTCTTAGAACAATATGCCGAATGTCTATGTGTGTTAGGATCTTTGATGTGTCCTTCCAATCATCTCATTATGGTTAATATTTATCTTATTCTAGCCATAGCAGCAACTAATTAAGGCAAGCACGTTCAAGCTAAAACTTATTATGAAAAGGCATTGAGTGCATGTGAAAGTTTACTAGATAAAACTAACTCAAACTATACATTTATTCTAGGCAATATGGCTGCTAGTTGTATGGAAATTAATGATGACGTCCGAGCAGAACAATTGATACAGCAGTTTGACAGTTATCGTTCTAAATCGCGAATACCTTCTATTTTTGCACTACAAATTTCTGCTCAACTTTTCAGAAAACGCAAAGATTGGCATGCGGAAATTACCTGTAACAAAGATATTCTTGAAATGTCTGACTTATCACCAAATTCAGTAGACACTACTCAAGCTCATGTCAGTATTGCTTCGATGTATGTGCTACTAGAAAATTTGGACAATGCTCGTAGCAATCTACAGACTATACCCGATCTTCAACAACTGCATCAACAATTATATGACTCGTTGACGAATTCCATTCAAGAAATCATGCTCTTAGTTGAACTAGGAAGACATACGTTTCAAAACTATGATTCTTTACAATAACTAATAAGTTAACTTTCTCTCACAGGGTGTAGGTGTGGATATTCCTGTGAATCAAGTCCACAGCTACACCGCACATATGAACTGACACCCCACACGCTGGCAGCATATTTGAAATTTCAGTGAAACTGTTATTAGAAATTTTTTAGCATGTTTTTACGGTTTTGACCAACGCATTTGGATGACTGAGTTGTTGTTAATCAATTCAATTTTGCGCAGAAAATAGTAACCTATTTGCATAACGAATTAGACAGTTTAGAGGAGCGAAAAATTCGGTATCGAATGAACTTAAAACAGAGACTTTGAAATGTGTTGTCATTGGTTCAAACTTTAGGAACCATCCGTTATATTATTTTTCTGTAGTACAAGATGAATAATATTCTCATGAGCAGAAAAAACGTAATCGAAGCTTCACAATTGAGTGATCTTTGTCACACTCTTTTAACAAAAGTCGAATATCATCGATCATTTGTATGTGCAAAGTTTTGCTTTTAGGTGCCTTAAACATTGGTTGAATTGGAAAAAATTCGTTAGCAACATTTTATTTTATCGTTCATGGCAAAAAAGAACCGATACAAATACAAAACAAAAGTTATACAATATGTTGCAATCAATAGTGTCTATACAGATTGAATAAAGATTTTTTTCGTACTCTGTAGATTCGATTGAGATGAAAAACCATTTAGCAAATGCTCCTCTCCGCTCTATTTCTTGATATAGTTATTTGTTGTGCTGCTGTTGTTTCATCGCTTCTCGACATGCATTTGCTTTGGCTATGTTCTTATTTACACCACGACCTTCGAATAGAGTACCATTCGGCATTCGAACAATACAAACCGCGATTGGCCTATCGCCGCCCTTGTCTATAGATTCTCTGAAATCGAATAATATTTGTAAAAGCTTTCTTGTTCAATTGGAACATACTCGATTATTTTACCACCATGTTCTGAAAATGATCTTATCGGATTCAAATTAGGATGAATAATAGATCGATCTAAATCATAGAAGTAGATGTGTGAATGAATCGATTTCGTTTCTAAATAACCATACCTAGGTATTTTCGAAGTAAAGGTTCGACAACCCGCCAAACAGTTTCTAAACAATTACCAGAGTCGAGAAAGATGGCTCCAACAAGTGCCTCAAATACATCAGCTAGAGCTTTTGGAGCTGTTGAATTAGCCCATCGATCAAGATCCTAAATGAAACAGGAGCAGTTTTTCGATGTTCACTGTTTTCGCTTGTTTATATATGTAAAACTCTATGTATATTATATTTCACATGAAAAATTATCTGAGGTGTGCGCAAAATGTATTCTTGTTTTAAGTAGAAATAATCAATAGCTATGCAATGTTCTTATTATTGTCTAGTAATGCATGAAAAACCAATGATCGTTTCGAACCTTGTGCATAACCTAAAATCAAATCTACCTAGGTCAATCGGAGATTATAACTTTCGATAGTCCAATCTAGAGTCTGACACTGAACGAATATTAAATCATGTGTTATCTGCTTATGATTAAATATTGTAGTTTGTAGAAAATAAAATATCATGTAAGATACCTTAATTTTACTTTAATATAATATGTTAGTCAATTCGAGTTTGACTTAGGTGAATGTGAGATTGGACGTAAAACTTCCATAATTTAGTGTTTTCAAAAATATTTCTAAAGAACAAATACTTCATCATGATATCTCATTCACAAAATGAACCGTCCTCTATGTAAATGCTGAACTTTTGAGAGAGGCATCTGGTTTGAAATGGATAAAACCACGCGATATAATGGTGTATTTCTTACTTTACTTAAATATTGCTCAGTTGATTGATCTTTTGGAAATAAATCTTCATCACCAGCATACAATGAAATATGACCAAACAAATCAGTTGAATTGTGAAGAATCTTCCTATGAAGACCACAAGCAACCAAAATATAGGCAAGACGACTGTTATTCGATAAATCTTGACGAATGTCTGTGACTAGACCTGAACAAAAAGAAAAAATATTTTATTTATCATAAGTTGGAAAATATTGCTTGCCAGGCGTCACATTTTGATTGTAATTAACGAATACATGACGTGTAACTAAAAAGTCAAGTATAGCATCGCCAAGAAATTCTAATCTACGAAAAGAAAGAAAATGACTGAAAGAAACAATCCTCATTCCAATTCTCTACCGTTCATAACAATCCGTTATACGATTGGCAAAATTCGACGGATGAGTAAATGCTGCAATAAGGTATGCCTTATTTTGAAAGACATACTGGATTTTCTCTTCGATTTCAGTAAATACTCGATCGAGATAAAATTTGTTGATTATCTGATTGATTTGAACATCGGTATTCATTGATATACTCGAACGAAGAATCGATGGTAATTTCATTATGTTATCTGAGATCAACAAAAAAAAACCAAATATTATTTCTGTATATGGCAAGATTTTTTACCTTGTTCATTGATTGGAATAACATCGAGCCCAAGCCAATGCATAAATTCAATCGTTGTTTTATAATTACTTGAAATAAGAAAAGCACCAATAAATGCTTCTATCATATCGCTAAAAGCTTTTCTTTTTGCTTTCTGATGAGAGAACTGTTCACTAATTGTTAATTTTGTCTCATCGATGCTGTATCCAGGCGGTAACCAATTGGCATCTTTACCTCGAAATACGATTTTATTAACATTCAAATAGTTTTTTAATTGTTTTTTGACGACTAATCGATAGAGATTTTCATTTGAGATTTGTTTAATTTTTTTTGCTGTCAACAAACCAGCACTGGCCAAATGATAACGATAATATAAAGACATTGAAACAGCCAATTTGAGAAAACAATCACCAAGAATTTCGAAATTTTCATTGTCCATTTGTTCGCCACTAGAACGTCGTGTTATGGCTTGAAAAAGAACATCGGAAGAAGGCTGTTCATTCGTCATTAATTTATTTTTTATAGTCAATGAATCGTAGGTGAGTGACGTTAATGGAAGTAAAGATCGTCGAGTCTGAAAATATTCAATTGTTGAATGATATCGAATTGTCTTATTTTATGAATTCAAGTATTGCGAAGTACTGCTTATTTAAAGGTATAAATGAATATTTTCAATACCAGTTTTCCGATTCAAAAGTAAGGTGGGATCAAAGTCCGTCTTCACAACGGAAGATCATGGTGTCCTATTATCTTCACATATTTCTCTGCTTGCTATAATCTCCGAGATTAAGTTATTTCACTGAAGAAATTTGCAAAACTCGACTATCAAGAGGTACAACAGTGTCTCTTCAAAATGATTAAAACACTACTTTTAGTTTTTTTAGTGAAAACATGATTGTTAAAATGTCTACAATTAAGATTCTTGAAATTTTATGTTCTTTGGCTTTGAGTTTGTTTGCAATACCAAAATGCCAAAAAGTTTATTGCTTTTCTCTATTACGCTTCACGTTTCAATAGCTTTAGGATTATTCTCAAAAGCTTTTAATCAGAAAAACGGTAAAAAGTCTTTGACACTTACTACAAAGAGCGTTGTGGCTGATGACAAATCCATGTTCTTAAGACAATCGTTGAAATCAATAGGCTTTCGCATTTGTTTTACATCCATCAGCTACAAACGAATAAAGTTCATCAGAATAGAAACTACTTATTCATTATTCTCATACCGAATAAGTCTGAATATTGGAAGCAAACAATATTCGTAATTGTTCAATCCAATACAATTGAGTAAGACGGACAAGAATACTTGGTAACTTATAGAACAATTTTAAATCAGCTTGATTTACTGGAGCATAATGAAGAAGTTCTATTGGATAGTAAACAGGTTGATCGAGAATTAAATCTGTTGTAGGATTTTTGTTTGCGTTCTTTTTCGTTGTTGGTACTTGATAAAGATAGTTTATTCGAGGATTGCGTGTAGGTTTCATTGTTGCCATCAAAGAATCTCGATCTATAGAAATATGCGGTAATTTATTTTCGAAATAATCGGCATAGGTTTTGATCGTTTCCGATTTCGTTTTGTACACCCATAAATCTGAAGTTCGTTTTGATGGAACGGTATCTGGCATAGTGACGTATAATGGTTTGTGTGGCAAATGCCAGGCGATATAAAGTTCACTATCGGATAGTTGAGACTGATGCTCAACAGGTTTATTCAATCGATTACATATTGACAACATTCTTTCACAATCGATCTCATTGCAATCTGGCAAACAAGAATCAATCAATAGATACATGAGATATTATTATTGTTAACTCACTTTTCAATAAACATGGAAGTAATTTAAATAATGAATGTTCAATATTAAACTTGAGAATTGATTGTGAACTATTTACTATTCCATCGAAGACATTTTCAAAAACAAATATTTACAAAAATATTCGATTTCATTTTTAAATATCGTGTAATCGATTGTTTTCACATAGACTAAATCTATTGTTAGTACTTCATTGTTAGCGTCATAGAGATAGAAATTGGGTATCTAGAAGTACATATGATTTGATTGGAACAATCCAAATATATGTCTGTTACTTCGACTAGTTCCAATGGAACAACAAAGCCGAGTTTGTTCATTTCTCCTCGAATATTAATTCGATAAAGATACCAAGTAGTCAATGAGACAATCGGCTGGTGCGGAAATGAATTAATCTAAATATATGAAAAATTTATTTCGATCAATGTAGATGATTTTTTATATTTGTAATTGACCTGTTTCTGAAAGATTTCTATGGTATTGTCATTTTTCATCTCGAATAATTCGTCGCACAATTTGAAAAGTTTACGCTCGATCGAAATATCGTTTATTATCAATGATCGAGCTTGATACGGAAGGCAATCATCATTCAGTTCTTCTGAAAAAGTCGATATCATGCAGTTATGTATCGTGTATTTGATAATTTTTACTCACTTTGCTGATGAAGCAATTTGACCATTTTTAAACAACATTCAAATTTAGCCAATTTTTTGTTCCTATTTTCACACTAAATTGCAAAATAAATCATTCATGTTTCGAAGTGAACGGTAATATATTGTTCGTCGAAAGACGAATACACTAGTCAAAGAAGAATTAAACAGGTTTTAGAATACCGCTGTGACAATATTCGATGATAAATACCCTGGAACAGCTGGTCAAAAAAATTATCATGTCAAACAATGGAAAGATCGATCACGAACTAGGTCGAGAAACGTTCATTCTCTAAAATTTCCAACTCTCTATTTAGTTGCCAACAAAGCATCAATACATGTTTTTTGTTGAATCACATTAAAAAAAACATAAAATACCTATGTTGATTCGATAGACAGTGCACTGTTTCGCTGTCTATGGTTGAAAAAAATGGATCTCTTATTAAATCTACTCCATAAAATTGTTGGCATTATCACTCAGGACAGCATTTTCAATTGTCTCTCAATCTTCAATGTAACTTCAAGTTGAAAATCTTTTCTGTTGTTCTCAATATAGTAAGAAACAAAGTCAGACAAACTTACAACAATATCATCCCGTATTGGACAATTTGCTGGCATAGAGAGAATACTCTCAAATGTATTACGATTCGTTTCATGATAGAGAATTCGAGGTGGACATAATCGACCATTGCCAATAATTGCACAATATCTTCATAGGAAACTATATGATCAAATGTCTTGCATAAATTTGACTCACTCGTAGATAATCTGCGCAGCACGTATTGCACTAATGACAACATCATTGTCTGTTCGATAAGGTTCTAACTGATTCAAATCGTCAGTATTCGAATCATCGTCATTATCGATAGAAAATTCTTCTTGAAGCATCTAATATAATTGAGAACAAAGGTTCAATAAATTAGAAGAATAAACATGAGTGAGATGAAACAACCTTTTCAGTTTCTTCATAATTATTGTATGTGAACAAATCTTTCGACAATATCTTTTTATCTGATTCATCAATAAAAATCACGTACGATGCATTTTGTTTAGCTCGAGCACGTCCTTTCGATTGCATGTATGAAGAAAAATTGGGCGGTTTATTAAAACGAAATACAAGATTACATTGTGGAATATCAAGACCTTCTTCAACTACTGCCGTAGCTACCAAAACATTGATTTCACCCGTACGAAATTCTCTTATGATTTGACGCTAAAGTTAATTCAATTTTCTAACAAAGAAAAAACTAAATGATTCAAACCTGATATTTGGCTGTCATTGTCGTGTTGCCTATGTTTGCTCTGGGTCCAGTGAGATATTTTATTTTGAGACAATTCTTATTTCTCGGTAAAAATTTCTCGCCAAGGAAAGTCAATATTTGACTCAAAATAATTGCCGTGTAGATGCGTTCAACAAATACAATGCATCGACCAAGATTATCTTTGTCAACATCATTTTTGATACGATGAAATAAATTGAGTACCTTCGAACTGAAAAGAATTTTATAGTTATTCTGATTGATGTCGATCAAATTTCGAAGAATATCATTGACGAGACAGTCAATACGTTCTAATGAATTATTGAACAATTCTTTTCCTTTTGAATCAGTAATTAAATCAAGTGCTTGAGATGATTTAAGGACTTTTTGAAGTGATTCAGCTGCTAAAAACAAACCGTAGATACCAAGTTCATAGCCTGTAAATGTTAAATTGACAAGATAATGTTTGAGACGAGGCAAATTAACATATTCTGATTGGAGAAATATTGTATAGTCCACTGAATGAGCATTGTATTCGTCTAGATTTAGGCCCAGATAGTCTGTTGTGCGCATTACTTTAGCAAGATCATGTTCAATCTTTTTGCGTTCTGCTTTTTGTTCAGTCAAATACGGTTGAAGATCAAGTAGAATCGATTCAATTGTCTAAATATCGTTCTTAAATAGAGATGTTGCTATTTAAAAAATAAAAATCTTACATCAAATGCAATCATGATACTATCATTATTGCAGCACACCTGGTCTTTGTATGGCAAATAGTAGATGTGCTCAACTTGAGCTGATGTACCACATCGATTACTTTCTTCTCTATTTGAACTACTCGCAACTCGAGCTCTTGAAATGAATAAAATAAATAATTGAATTTCGAATTGCAATGTTGTGTTACCTGTATGTATTTTCAATATCCTTGGCAGCTTGATTCAATTGGAATGGTGTGATTTTTTTAGCACTTATCGATGCTGTTAAACCTAATATACGTGGTGGATCGTGACATGAACGATAATGTCTACTCATCAATGTTGCATAACAATTTTCTCCTGTAGAATGATGGCATTCGTCAAAAATTAATAAATTGACTTTATACAAGGCTAGAATTCATTACGATATTTTCGAATTTCGAGTTCATACGAATGACATACGAAAATAATTGTGATCGACTAGATTGAGAAAGATTTGAGCAGTAAATACAAGTACTTGATGATGTTCAAATTCATCGATCCATCGTTGCTTTTGCCATAAATCAACACCCAATTCACCATAATATTTACCGACACTCAAATCGGTATGAATATGAATATAATCACTTTGTTGTTGAACAAGTGCAACTTAAACGAGAATATCGAAGTCATGATAAATAGATTCAGTTGAAATTCGAACCTGTTTTAACAAGAAATACAGTTCGCTTGCCTCCATCTTTGATACTCGCACGAATCGCATGTGCCATTTCTTTGATAAGCATCACAGCTATATAAGTTTTCCCACTGCCAGTGGGCAGACATATAACCAAATTTTCTTCCTTAGCTTGTTCCATTAGTTCAGTCTATATAGAAATAAATTCGCTTAGAACGAGAAAGTTTTCTTTTCATAAGAATATCGTGCTTGATAAGAACGAGGTATTGTAATGACATCTTGCCCTGTTTTCGTCTCATCGATGTTTACTGTTGTATTGCGAGACGCGATCATTTTACTGAAAATTAAGAAAATCTATTATCATTGAAGTTTTTGTTGAGTTTCGATGATCAATAAGTCAAAACTTAAGAATTATCACTTACGGGCGCTTTGCCAGTGATGATGACGTTGACATCGTCATCGATGGAGATGCTGCACGTCGCATTTCTTTACTGTTTACGTCTACTTTTTTAAATACCAAATGCGTTTTACGTTCCTGCTCGACTTTTATATCTGTAATTTTTCTCATGCGCTATCGTTATTCAAACAGGAGAACAGTGTTTCACTGTCGAGAAAGGAAAAGAAAAAGAATGGAAATATAAAATTTCATAATTATAACAAAATAAGAGCTGTAGGTAGATAAAGACAACATTCTCACTTACTCACCCATGTCCTATATATAGTTTCATTAAGAACAACAATAGAAGTTTTACTTCTCGAGACGTAAACAACAGTAAGAAATGGTTAACAAAAAATTATTACAATATACTTTTTCCTTATTTTGATATACTTCGTAAACTCATCTGCAAGAAAATAAATACATACTCAAACGTTGGTAACGATTGTTTTATTCAATCCATTGCTGATATATTCGTATCAAGAAGAGAAAGGAAAGACAAATGTCAATATTGATTGGATGTGCATGTGGGTATCGGGTGTTCGTGAGTCGGAGTAAAGAAAAGACTCAGAGACGCATCAACACTTGGTCGTAGCTTACATGGACTATTATCTGAATTCAAATTTCAGGTTTGACACTGCTGATTTTGTGTCATCGATGACGACGAATAAATAACACTAGTCAACTCAAAATACGTATTGTTTCTTCTTTCCATAAGATTGTTTTTCTTCATGTCGCATTAATAAACTTTTATAGTCTCTTCATGAAATCAAAAGAGGAGTCGTGATATGTTTGTCTAAGATCTGAATAGTTAAATATGATAGACTGCAATCAGCACATGACTTTATATCACTTGATCCTCAACAAAGTGAATAGCTTCAGCATTTTTCAATTCTAGAAATTCCCAACATTCACTTATTAGATTTGTTCTAAGATGTTTATTCTTGCGCATCCGAGTGTAGATGTGTATGGGTGTGAACATCAACACTCTAAAAAGAAAAAAAAATTACTATCATCATGATCATTAAGATATTATACATAAACAAGATGTGTGTAAAGCTTGTTCGTTTTCATTAAAACAACCATCCAACATGAAATAACAATAGCAAAACGGTATGGTCACTTTTTTATGTCAATTTTTGTTTCTTAGTACTAAAATTTGTTTTTAATACACAACTCAAAACCAAAAGGTCGTGCGAGACTTTTGATGTTCATTCTAATTATTTTCCTTAATGTTCAAACTTATCGACAAAGTTCAAATGCTTTTTCTATTTGATTACTGTATCGATTATTAACAGACCTTCTTTTTCTCATGTTTTGTTGAATGTAGCTGGTGTTGGTTGGAAAGAAACTTTATTAGTTTATTGTAAATTTAGAAAGTATTTATTTCAAGCATATGCAATTATCTCTCTTGCGTGTTAATACTTGATTGAAATAGATCAGTTCTTGTCAACATTCTCACATCTACAATGACAACGATAGAATAATAATACTAAGATGGTTCATTGTTTATCAGCCATTACTTTTTTTTTTTTGACTTATCTATGGAATTTCTTATTTTCTCTACTACAATCTGAAATTATCATCTGTTTTCCGAAAAGTAAGCTGCATATTTACTAATTTTATCTTTGACGAGTATTATTATGACTTTTATGCTTTCGTTTTTATGTGTGCTATTTCACTTGCTATTGTGATTATTTTTGGATTGTTAGCCTATTACAATGTTAGACAACATTCACATCGAATAGTACCACTTCTTCGTCATCGACATGAACTTCAATTAACAATTATGGTTTTTGTACGAGTTCCTTTTAAGGGCGTAAATCTTCTCTTGCATACACTCTCAGACTCACATCCTATTGGCCAATGAATGCCATCAGGTTCCATTTTGATATAAGTCTGAAAATAGAAAACAGCTTAAAAAACTATATTCTATTAAAACTATTATTTAAATACAGATACTCAATAGATATCGAGGTTTTTCTATAAAACTTATTGTAACATTGAAGCAGCTTTTTATTTTGTAAGAAATCTTTTCTAGCAAAGAAAAAAAAATACGCAGTTTCTTTTTTTAAATATCACTCTTATTAATCTGATTCTATTTAACATGAAGTCGTTTGTTTTTGTGTGAATGAACATCGCGAGATAGTCACAACAAAATAAATAAATGTTGAAGAGAGGACAGCACGATAACATTATTTTTTTGCATTGTGGATATACTTTCTTTTCATCGCTCTCAGATAAGGTTAAAAGAAAAAAAACGAAAATATATACATATATGCTGATATGAAGATGATAGTTAAAAGCGAATACGGGTCAGTCTAGCACTCATGTTCTTGATCTTCTTAGTGAAATATTGATGATCATCTTGAAGAAACTCGGCACTATTGATATTCTTTCTTCGCTGTTTGGAATTCATAAAGAGCGATTTGATATTTTAGCACAAGATAATATATTTAATAATGTTTCATATTTTGTACGAACAACATCAATTATTGATGATGAGCTTTTTACCTTAAAAACATCATTGTATAAAAAAACTCATTATCGAAACAAAATCTATTAAATGCATTCTTCTTCCTGATGATTATTCTAATCTGACCTATTTCGAACTATTCAATTTTGGACAAGAGTTAATGTTCCATAACTTTACAGGTAAATATTTAACATGTTGTTAGTCACAATAATGAAAAAAAACCTTGAAATACATTGTTTTTTTTTGTGTTTAGATGACTCAGTAGCTCGATTATATTTTACAACATCAGATAATTGATCTTATTCTTCATAATAATAATAAATATGCCAATGAAGAATTATCAGAGACTTATAACTAATATCCATTTTATCATTTCGAAATCTACTATCAACTACTTCTTGCTTTTTTTTATGAATCTTACTATATTATATGTTAATGTTATACATTTTAATGGTATGAGTTAATATTGTGTTTTATTGTTATCTGAAGTTAAGGAAAAATATTAACAATAAAATCATGTTCATGTATAAATGCACTGGATGATTACTAGAAGAATAAATATAGAGGATGATATATTTCATCATTGTAAAACGATTGGAAATAGTTAAGCGTTCTTGTTTTTCTATTAATTGATATTTTTTTGATAATTAATTCTTAATCACTCGCTGGAAATAGCCAATCAAAAAGTTGCAAAATGAGTAGTTTGACCGTTACAACTAAAGTATTTTCTCAATAATTAATTTTTGACTTTTATTGAGTGCAGAACATAAGCAAAGAAAAACAGTAGAATTTATCAACGTTATGTAGTTATCTTCTATTAGCTCACAGCAACTCTGGTATGACCATGATTTGAAGATGCTTCCTAGATTCAAAAATATATATACGATGAAAGATAACAATTTCAGAAGAAATTACGCTAATTTAAATGATGTCGATGAAAATAGTTTCAAGAAAAAGCTTTTCTCTTAACTTAAATGTCTCTTATAATGAATATTGTACTATAGATATCAGAACTAATCCTATTTAACGATATTAAGAATATTTCATGCAAGTTTAGAAATCTATTCCAATCTTGTGAAATCATTCGAAAGTAGCCATAATGTCAGTCAATAGACCAGAATATGCCATTGTGGAATATGGTTGTTACATGTATGGTTTTATTGTGATTGGTCTCTTCACAAGTTATGACCCAATAACAATAATGGATTCACTCCGAAGGACTCAATCAGAAATATTGGTTGTCGATAATTTGACATGCATTCGATCATTCGAAAAGCAATTGCTCGAAAATAACCAAATCAAAGAAATTATTGTTATGGACGAAGTACAAGATGGTGAACATAGAAAAATTCGAAGTTTTTCATCTATTTTAAAGGCAATGAATAAGAGCAATGTACGCCCACGGCCTACCATTGATTCAAACAGTATTTCTACATTTCTTTTGATAAGCGAAACAACCGGTGAGAAATGTCATTGTCTCTTTTTGTTTTCGAATAGATCATGAAACTCAATCGATAGAGTTGATCTAATCAGTTTCACTTTGAAAACGGAGTTGTTTTTCTAGAAAAGCAGTTGATTCTTGTCTGACTCTACAAGATAACTGTGAAAAGTTCATTTTACATAACGGTCTAAACTCATCTTGATTGTAAACAGAAATTGTATGTAAAATTAATTATGGTTTTAGTGCTCTAATCTGTAGATCATGAGAAAAACAGCTGGAAATGAATTTTGGCACGAAATAAATCACTATCCCTGCTGAAATATGAAGAACATACATCTTTCTTCGATCTCTTCGGAACACAAGCAGTTTGTAATTGATATTATCTAAAACACCGATGGGTATCATTGATTTCGAAACTCTTCGGAAAATGTTAAGAACCCTAATGTTAAATTTCAAAAATACTTTGTTGAATGTTTTTATTTTGCATTTGGAAACTGATAAATTACGCAGAAAAACTATCTAACATCTATTGTAGGTGATCCAAAAATTGCGATGTTAACTCACGACAACTTCATGACAGGATTGAAATCTATAGCTGATCGTGAAGCACGAGCCGATATCTTGATGAACTTCAGAGACAAATCGTTTTTTATCCAACTCCTGACAAACTCTTTGAATACTATTCATTAGTGAAACCTACTCGTATTTATATGATGCCTCGCATTTTAAATAAGATATACG